AAAAAAAAAAAATAATAATAACTTTGTTGTATCCTAAATCGTTGATTTAAACTATAAAAAGTCAATACTAATGTCATTTTCTTTGAAATGGTCTAGAGAATCAGGTTTTCTGTAAATGAAATTCTTGGGGATACTCATATAGATTTTGAAAGTAATATTTCACACGTTTGAGGATAATACACCTTATTAACGTAATTAAACGTAACAAAACCTAATCTAACCTAATCTAGCCATGGATAGGGAGCAGATAACAACACTAATTATACGGTGTTTCGAAGTGATTACTTCCAGGAGGCCGCTGCCCTGAGGATATCCTGCCTGTCGTCGAGGGTGTGGGCGTTAATATCCCGCCTGTCGTCGAGGGTGTGGGCGTTAATATCCCGCCTGTCGTCGAGGGTGTGGGCGTTAATATCCCGCCTGTCGTCGAGGGTGTGGGAGTTAATATCCTGCCTGTCGTCGAGGATGAGGGCGTTAATATCCCGCCTGTCGTCGAGGGTGTGGGCGTTAATATCCCGCCTGTCGTCGAGGGTGTGGGCGTTAATATCCCGTCTGTCGTCGAGGGTGTGGGCGTTAATATCCTGCCTGTCGTCGAGGGTGTGGGCGTTAATATCCCGCCTGTCGTCGAGGGTGTGGGAGTTAATATCCTGCCTGTCGTCGAGGGTGTGGGCGATAATATCCCGCCTGTCGTCGAGGGTGTGGGCGTTAATATCCCGCCTGTCGTCGTGGGTGAGGGCGTTAATATCCCGCCTGTCGTCGTGGGTGAGGGCGTTAATATCCTGCCTGTCGTCGAGGGTGTGGGCGTTAATATCCTGCCTGTCGTCGAGGGTGAGGGCGTTAATATCCTGCCTGTCGTCGAGGGTGTGGGCGTTAATATCCTGCCTGTCGTCGAGGGTGAGGGCGTTAATATCCTGCCTGTCGTCGTGGGTGAGGGCGTTAATATCCTGCCTGTCGTCGAGGGTGTGGGCGTTAATATCCTGCCTGTCGTCGAGGGTGTGGGCGTTAATATCCCACCTGTCGTCGTGGGTGTGGGCGTTAATATCCCGCCTGTCGTCGTGGGTGAGGGCGTTAATATCCTGCCTGTCGTCGAGGGTGTGGGCGTTAATATCCCGCCTGTCGTCGAGGGTGTGGGCGTTAATATCCCGCCTGTCGTCGAGGGTGTGGGCGTTAATATCCCGCCTGTCGTCGAGGGTGTGGGCGTTAATATCCCGCCTGTCGTCGAGGGTGTGGGCGTTAATATCCTGCCTGTCGTCGTGGGTGAGGGCGTTAATATCCCGCCTGTCGTCGTGGGTGAGGGCGTTAATATCCTGCCTGTCGTCGTGGGTGTGGGCGTTAATATCCTGCCTGTCGTCGAGGGTGTGGGCGTTAATATCCCGCCTGTCGTCGTGGTGTGGGCGTTAATATCCCGCCTGTCGTCGTGGGTGAGGGCGTTAATATCCAGCCTGTCGTCGAGGGTGTGGGCGTTAATATCCCGCCTGTCGTCGAGGGTGTGGGCGTTAATATCCCGCCTGTCGTCGAGGGTGTGGGCGTTAATATCCCGCCTGTCGTCGAGGGTGTGGGCGTTAATATCCTGACTGTCGTCGAGGGTGTGGGCGTTAATATCCTGCCTGTCGTCGAGGGTGTGGGCGTTAATATCCCGCCTGTCGTCGAGGGTGTGGGCGTTAATATCCTGCCTGTCGTCGAGGGTGTGGGCGTTAATATCCCGCCTGTCGTCGAGGGTGTGGGCGTTAATATCCCGCCTGTCGTCGTGGGTGAGGGCGTTAATATCCCGCCTGTCGTCGTGGGTGAGGGCGTTAATATCCTGCCTGTCGTCGAGGGTGTGGGCGTTAATATCCTGCCTGTCGTCGAGGGTGAGGGCGTTAATATCCTGCCTGTCGTCGAGGGTGTGGGCGTTAATATCCTGCCTGTCGTCGAGGGTGAGGGCGTTAATATCCTGCCTGTCGTCGTGGGTGAGGGCGTTAATATCCTGCCTGTCGTCGAGGGTGTGGGCGTTAATATCCTGCCTGTCGTCGAGGGTGTGGGCGTTAATATCCCCCTGTCGTCGTGGGTGTGGGCGTTAATATCCCGCCTGTCGTCGTGGGTGAGGGCGTTAATATCCCGCCTGTCGTCGAGGGTGTGGGCGTTAATATCCCGCCTGTCGTCGAGGGTGTGGGCGTTAATATCCCGCCTGTCGTCGAGGGTGTGGGCGTTAATATCCCGCCTGTCGTCGAGGGTGTGGGCGTTAATATCCCGCCTGTCGTCGAGGGTGTGGGCGTTAATATCCTGCCTGTCGTCGTGGGTGAGGGCGTTAATATCCCGCCTGTCGTCGTGGGTGAGGGCGTTAATATCCTGCCTGTCGTCGTGGGTGTGGGCGTTAATATCCTGCCTGTCGTCGAGGGTGTGGGCGTTAATATCCCGCCTGTCGTCGTGGGTGTGGGGCGTTAATATCCCGCCTGTCGTCGTGGGTGAGGGCGTTAATATCCTGCCTGTCGTCGAGGGTGTGGGCGTTAATATCCCGCCTGTC